TATATATACATATATATATTAGGCCAGATCATATATATATATAATATATATATGATCTGGCCTAATATATATACAATATTTTTGATGTTATGATCTGGCCTAATATATATACATATATATATATATATATATATATATATATATATATATATATATATATATATATATATATATATATATATAAATATATATATATATATATATATATATATATATAAATATATATATATATATATATATATATATATATATATATATATATAAATATATATATATATATATATATATATATATATATATATATATATATATATATATATATATATCAGGCCTTGCGATAAAGCGTCGGGCGATGTTAATTTTACGTCGTCCAAAAGCGATTTTGCGTGTAGCTAGGGCTATTTGCGTCGAGCAAAAAATTTTTTGTTTGAGTATATTTAAAGATATTTTTGAACGGAATTTTAATAAAGTAATTCACAATTATTTTAACATTTAATAAAGTATTTTAAAAACCACACGCAGTTGAAATAAAAATTTGAATAAAAAAATATTAAATATGCTCATTATTTACAAGTAGAAAAAATTCAGATTAAAAAAAAAGTTTAAATCTTTTAAGCTAACATTTTAATAAAATTATTCAGCAATAGCAAAGTTGTTGATAAAATTGAACAAAAATACTTTCTTTTAGTTTTAGATTTTAAACTTAAAAAATTATTTTTAGTTTGTTAGGTTTTAAAATTATTCCATAGATTTAAAAATATTTATTAACTGTTAGACATATATAAAGTATTTAAGAGTAATTTCGAGGAAACATTTTAAAAATTGGTGAGCGCAAATAAATAAAAAAAAGGATTAATATCAAAACGTATTCTACTTGATTCAATAAAATAGTACAGTTATTAAAATTTTTGTAAAAAGTAACTCAAAAAAATTACTTAATAACGATCGCTTTTACGTTAAAAGTTACCGAAACTCAACGAAGCGTGCTCAAGAACAGCTGTTGAAAAATAAAACATCAATAGTTTTTCGAATAATTTTTAATAATAATATTTAAGAATAATTTTTTCGCTGAAATATTTCTTTTATACCTATAAGATTTTTATTCTAACATTTTATTTTATTTTACTAGAAATAAAATTCCTTCAAAACGTGACAAACGTCGAGAAAATAAACAAATGTTTTTACATTTTAAAAAACAAAACATTCCAAAACATTTTTAAATAATAAAACTTCTACATAAACGATTTAAAGTAGTTTTGCGGTAATTAAGTAAATTGGTGCAGTTAATGTCGATAAATATGAAAAGCAAATAAAAAGAATTTAATGACGTCAAAAATCACATCGTGCTTATGCGTCGCGGAGCTCTTATTCATCACAAGGCCTGATATATATATATATATATATATATATATATATATATATATATATATATATATATATATATATATATATATATATATATATATATATGTATATATATATATATATACACTTACTAAAGCATGTTTTGACAAGCATTTGCTCACTTTTTCTGCTTACCTTAAGCTATACGTTTTTTTCAAAAAAGAAGAAGAAAAAATGAAGAATGATGAATAAAACGATTGCTTCCCCATCCCAAACCCTCAGTCGATGTAGCAACACTCCACTGCGAGTCAGGCTATTTGTCAGTCGATGTATGTACTGAAGCCCCCAGCAGCAGGGTATTTTAGTATGACGTCATATTGCTTACCTTAGCACGCAATACTATTTGTATATATATATATATATATATATATATATATATATATATATATATATATATATATATATATATATATATATATTTATATATATATATATATATATATATATATATATATATATATATATATATATATATATATATATATATATATATATATATATATATATATATATATATATATATATATATATACAGTGGCGACAAAATAAATAGCACAGATTGATATCTAAAATGTAATGCTTTATTTTCCAGAGATCTAAGTTTTTGAGGCCTAAACTTTTTTAGCCTAATAATATATTAGTTATAAAAGATAACATTACTGATTAAGAAATGAAAGTAGCTTATGTAAAAAAAAAGTAAAACCATATAAATGATTTAGAACTACAGAATAAGGGGGCAACTTAAACAGCACACCCTGTACAAAATTATAATTTTTTCCTTTGGCTACAAAAATCATGGAAGTTCTTTGTATAAATAGTTAAAAAAAACTTTTTTTGAAGAAAATTATTATTTAGTGGGCTATCCTTTTGAGTCAATAACCGCTTGACAACGACGGCCCATTAAGGAGATCAAGTTTTGGCATCGTTCAGGCGTAATGGCATCCCAAGCAGCTTTTATTTCGACCCAAAGATGGTCTAAATTTGTTGCAGGTAAATGGTTTATTTTTCTATCAACTTCCTCCCACAAATTTTGTTATTGGATTTAGGTCTGGTGACTGTGCGGGTCACCCTAGATTGTCAATCTTATTAGCGGTAAGCCATACTTTAATACTTTTGGCAGTGTGCTTGGGGTCATTGTCTTGTTGGAATTTCCAAACTAGAGGGAGATTTTCTTGGGCATATGGCAACATCACATTTTCCAGTATTTCTTTGTAGATATGTTGATCCATCGTGCCTTGAATTCTATTCAACGGGCCTACTCCACTCCATGAAATTCTACCCCAAACAATCACCTTGCCACCACCATGTTTAACGGTCTTTAAAGTATACTGAGGGCTGAGTTCTTGGTTCTGGGGACGACAAACATATTGCTTTCCATCGGATCCAAAACGATTGAACTTAGACTCGTCAGTCCAAAGCACATTTTTCCAAAAACGCAAGTCCTTGTGTACGTACTGTTTTGCAAACTTCAAACGGCTGACGAGATTACATTTTGAGACCAATGGCTTTTTTCAAGCAACCCTTCCAAACAGCTTATTTTCGCATAACCGACTTTTGACTGTGCTGACAGACAGATTGAGTTTTAGATTTTGAGCAATTCGTTCTTTTATTTTTGGTGCGCCAGCAAAAGGATTCAGCTTAGCAATACGAACAATGGCTGCGTCTTCTCTGGGGGTTGTTTTTTGTTCGCGAAACTTGCGTTTTTTGTTGCTTAATGAACCAGTATTGTTAAATAATTTAATAGCACTGATAACTTTCTTACGAGAACAACCAAATCTTCGAGCTATTAGAGAATTGTTCAATCCTTGATCTCGATATGCCTGTACTTGCCTTGAAAGACATCTGTTCCATGTTTACCACGTCCCATAATTGACAGAAAATTATTATTTTATTATTTTTTGCTAAAAATATACAAGAATATACTTAGAATATTAAATAGAATGATTATCTTTTGATATATTACAAAAATTTAGTTATTTTATAATAAAATGCTAATGTGTGCTATTTAAAATGTCCTCAAAAATGTAAGCACGACCGCTAAAATGCCTCAAACAAGCAACTTTTACAGTTATAAATAAAAAATGAGTAATGCTGTTCAAAAATGTAAACATTTTTGATGCTATATATATAAAAAAAAGTTGTAATAAAAACAAAAATATTGGTTATAAAAATATTGGTACCAAAAAGAAAAACCAACTGGTTATGAAAGTGTGCTATTTATTTTGTCACAACTGTATGTATATATATATATATATATATATATATATATATATATATATATATATATATATATATATATATATATATATATATATATATATATATATAAAGCAGTAGAAAATCACTTTTTCTTATTTATAAGAATTTTTGCTAAGTGATTTTCTACTACATTAAAATTGCTCTGTTCTTTTAAGAACATTGAGCACTCTATTTTGTCGAATACATTTTAAAAATTGTTTAAATATATCGTACACTGCTGATTTAGGTGAGAACGATGATGTCATACTCACCTAACGTCAAATAGCCTGCTGCCGGGGGGTTCAGTACATACATCGACTGACAAATAACCTGACTCGCAGTTGAGTGCTGCTACATCGACTGAGGGTTTGGTATGGGTCAGCAACCTTTTCATTCATTATTCTTCGTTTTCCCTCATCGTTTTCTAAAAACGCTCACTTAATTTAGGCTAGCAAAAAAGTGAGCAATTGCGCATATGAATATGCTATAGTAGATAAATATATATATTATCTTTACGGTACATTTTTTTCATGTTGATTGAATTGAAGAAAAGAATATTATATAATTATATAATTATTACTCTCTTATTTAAAATTAAATTAAAACCATTTATATAAAAAAAAATTTCGCATAAAAAATTTAATATTACTTCAATATTCTTAGTAATTTTTTAACTTGACTCAGAAAAAAAAAAAATTCCAGGACATTCCAGGACACTTGCAAAAATCCAGGACATTCCAGGATTGTGGCGACCATGTATATATATATATATATATATATATATATATATATATATATATATATATATATATATATATATATATATATATATATATATATATATATATATATATATATATATATATATATATATATATATCTTGACAAGGCTTCAAGCAACAACTATTAGAGTTGGAAGTTACTGGAAGAGAAAAGATGAAGTTTATAAAGCAAGATAACAATTAACAGACAACTTAAAAGATTGCAAACTATATCAATCAAGTAAACAAGATAAAGGGAAAACAAAAAAACAACAAAAAATACTAAAATTGAAATGATTTGAATTCCATAAGCTAATAGCTTAAAAATAAACTACATTAAAAATTTATAACATCAATGACTAAACATATTTATTTTTTATATATTCATGTAGATTCTTAAATTGTGAAAATTAATTCAAGGAAAAAAAGACACTCAAACCTAGCAGCTTTATATATTTAAAGCTTGCACAACATTGATATACAGGTAAGAGAATATACATGAAAATTATTTGACTTTAATTTATTTTACTTTGCAAGAACGTTAAAACTAAAAATTACACAGATAAAAAAAAGAAGCAAATTAAATTTGGTGAATACCTGAGTCAGTTCCAGGTAAAAACCCACTAAACTCTTTATTTCCAAATGACACAACAAAACCATGATCCTCCATACTTTGTATCACTCCCCATAACACCTTGTTATAAATAACAATTTTTTTGTGATCAATAAATTTTTTTACATAAATGTAATTTAATTTTTTTTTAATTTTTGCTTTTGTATTAACATTTAAAAAACAAATTAAATATATTTCTTAATACATTATATTAAATGAAAAAATCATTTAATGGAAACCAACATTACCAAATTGTTATGTAAAGCATTTGCTTTTACACCTCCATTTATATCAGAAGGAAAAATACTGAGCAATATTTTCCTATATCCATGTTTATCTGAGTCAATTTTCTTAACAACAACTGGTACTAACTGACCAACTGATAGCAATGATGATGTCAATATAGCATTCTAAAAGTAAACAAACTTAATTTACTATCTTAAATATTATTGTATATTTAACATAATCTTTTCAAAACTGAAACAAAAAGTACTAAGTCAGGTTCATAACTAAGGCCGATGTTTTTATATTTAAATAATTTAATATATATAATATATAAATAATTATATATTTAAAAATTCAGACTTTTAACAATTAAACAGAAATTATTTTTTTGCATAAAATTATAACTTTTTGTAATAAATAGAGACCAGAAATATTCTGTGACTATTCTGTATTTGATCTGTTCGACTACTTTTTACTATTCAGTATTTGGCCGAATACTGAATACCAGATTGTAATTTAAAAAATGCATAAAAATAAATTACAGAATTATTTTTTTTATTTTTTATTTTAACAAATAACTAGCATATTTGAAACTTAAAATCTTTAAATGATAATCAGGCTTGGTCGGGAAGCGAGAGCGATCGCTCTCGAATACTGAACACGGAAATTATATTTATTTGCGAAAAACTGGCCAAGTTTTTTAGTCGTTTTGAGAACATTTAAGTTTATGTACGAAACAAAATATTTTTGTTTTACGGACATACATGGAAACATAAAAAAACTTGTTCTCAAAACATCTTTGTGCGAAAGAATAAAAAGAATATTCGCAAACACTAAAAACCCGCCAAATTAATGAACAAACTAATTCTATTGGTTGAAAAAAAACGCTGATTAAGCGAAATTAAGTTCTAGATAGTATTCTATTGAAATTTTTTAGAAATTTATTATTCACGATTTGTTACGTTTTGAGATTTCTACTATTGTTTTAAGAATCTATATTATTTGTTTACGAAAATAAATGCTTTAAATATATATTTATTAAATAGTTAAAATTTTAAAAGTTTATTTTAAATTATAGATTTTATTAGTTATATTTTTATTTTTTATTTTAAAAGCGATTGTATTCTTTATGTAAATGTAATTTTGTGTTTTTATTTTTTATCGTGTTCTATCTTTTAAAGCAACTTTTATGATTTAAACAAAGACTCACATAAAATAATTGCGTTTTCAATGAAGTTATAATCGTTAAAGTTAATAAAACTAATTATGTAATAAACATATATAAAAGTTTCTGGTTACTAAACACAAACAACGCATACAAAGTAACTCGCGGATGAACAAGCACCGCACCTGACGTCACGACAGAACACAAATATATATAGCAAATAATTAGATATATAGAAAAGTTTCTAGATATTGGTTTACTAACTCTAATTATTTTCGTTTAAGTTGCCATTATTAAAACTCGTTATACTTTTTTCTATTTTAAATACTAATTAAAATTAAAAAGCCCACTCACTAAATATCATCAGCGATATTGTGAAGCAGTTTTGCTTCCTTGTCATAAAGTATTTTTAACGTTTTTAGTTGATTTCTATCTTGATAATTTAATTTCTATAGTAATTCAATGATTTAATTTCATTTGTATATCTTGCTAAGAAGAATCGCTTCAAATATGTTAAACTTTTCAAACTACGTGAGTACATAAAATAGGTATTAAAAAAATTTATTTTTTTATTTATAAAATAATTTAGCTTAAATAAAACTAAAACTTGCAAACTTTGTAAAATAAAGAATATTTGTTTCTCTTTTTAAACAATTGTAAGTTGTTACTTTATATAAAAAACACTGATGTTTCGAAAATATTTGTTCTAAATGTAACTTATTTTTTTCGTGTTTAAAGATACTTTATATGCATAATTTTTTTTTTTTTTGTAATTGTCTCTCATCGGTCCAATTAATCTTCGTCGCTTTTTTTTTTTTTTTGCTTTTTAAAATGTTCTCAAAACAACTAAAAAATCTGGCCAGCTTTACGCAACTAAATATTATTTACGTGGTCAGCAATCGAGAGCGATCGCTCCCGCTTCCCGACCAAGCCTGGATAATATGACAAAACATTTTCATTGTTTGATAGCAAATGATTGCGAATACTTCATAAATTTTTCATAATCCAAAAAAAGCCATTAACTAAGTTCCTCTGCTACATAATGAGAAAATTTTAGCAAGTTCTTTTAGGATAAAACTTCCTTTTGCTGACCACCACTTGCAAGGGTTTGCAAACAGCTTCATGTAAAAAGTAATTTCATATCCACTTGGACTTTTTTTCCCACATCTCCACTTATCACCACATCTCCGCATGTGTGCATACTTTTTGTAGAGATTAGTTAGTTTCCATATACGTTTGTTTTAGACACCGGTGATAGGTAATTGTTGTTGACCAGCCTTTCACTGAGAATGATTAACTTTTCACTGACTTAATCTTCCACATTTAAATTTTTTGTTTTTTTTTTACTTGCTGTGTTTTAACTAATGCTTTAAAATTAATTTTGAAATAGGCATCAAGTAAAAAGGCAAACATATAATTGAGATTCCAATTAATGTTGAACCATGTTTTAAGTTCAGGTTGTAGTGACAATATAATTTTTAATAAATTTAGAGTTCTTAGTGCTATATCCTTCTAAATCATCTTCTGAAATAACCTCAGAAATGCAAGATATACCTGAGCTAGTTATTTTTGCAATTTTTTTGAATGGTTTGAAGAGTATGATATGATACTCTTCAAACCATAACTGTAATTAAAACAAAATTGTTTTAATTACAGTTATGATACATAATTGTAACAACAATTTGACGACAACAAACAATGTCAACAAACAATGCGTGCTGTGATATCACCAATGACCAAACCTGCATTGAGCCAACATTAACTTTCAGAATCACAAATAAAACAAAAATGCCCACAGCATAGTTAACATATGCACTTCAATGAAGTCGAAACCTTCAAAGTAACTATATGTCACTCAAAGTTTGATTTTTGCCAAATATTTTGTATTTAGCAAAAATCAATATTTATATGACATTTGTTTTTTCAACATCTTAACTTCCAACAAAACTGTAAGCAACTACTATTAGAGTTAAAAGTAACTGGAAGAGAAAAGATGAAGTTTATAAAACAAGATAACGATTAACAAACAACTTAAAAGATTGCAAATTATATGAAGCAGAAAAACAAGATAGAGGGAGCAAATTCCAAAGAACTGATGAAAACTAAACAAATAAATTTTGAAGCACCTAGGAACAGTCACAAAAAAAGAATGAGACAAGAAACACGAGAATGAATTTTTTAGTAGATGGCACAAGCAATGCTAGCTCTTTAAAAGCAACATTACATTGATGTGACATTGGTTGAAAGCTGGGTGCAAGAGCAGGTTTTATTACTTTTACAATGTGTTTTTGTCTAAAAGAGAGAAGGGCATCTTTTGAAAATTAACTCCAGATATGGCAAAAGTATTCCATACAAGGACAGATTAGAGATTTATAGAGATAAAAAATAGAATTCAAAGTAAGAAAGTGGCAAGTACGATAAAGTGAGGCAACCTTACCAGATGGTAATCTTGCAATGGATTTAGTATATGGTTTCCAATAAAGATCGGAAGTAAGAGTTAATACTAGAAGACTAAGGGTAGACGACTCATTGAGTACATTACTGTTCATAAGTGTAGGAAGATCTAAAATATTGTGATAACGATTAACCGAAAAAAAAAAAAAAAATTTATCACCAGTCACTGAGAGTCCTATGCTGTAGCACTGACTAGAAAACTAAAGCCTGATAATGATGATGATGATGATGATGATGATGATGATGATGATGATGATGATGATGATGATGATGATGATATATTTTATATTTTATCTAATCCACTTCCAGTCAAACTTAAATCCCGCTTGCTTACTACTTGAGTATACTAATTGACTTTCATGTTTTATATGCAAAATACTAATTCATGTTTTAAATGCAATCTATAAACTAATGTTTTAAATGCAATCTGCAAATTTGTCTCGTAACCTTATGTGATAAAAAAAAATTTTAATGTTTTTTTATATTTTAAATATGAACCTTTTAATCGTGCATTATTTTATACTAAGTAAAGAAAAAATTTTTAACTATAGTATAATTGATTTTTTACAGAATAATTAAGGCACTCTAGCCAGTATACTTGTGTTAAATAGGCCTAGATACATCACTCTAAAGTGGTGTACCAAGGCCTATTTTCATTATTATAATTAACTACTATAACTAATCTTATCTTAGCCACTGGCATAAATGTAGCCAATGTGGCCAAACTGGCATAAGTACAAAGAAAGAATTTTCAAAAATCTAAAAATTAGCATAATCTCTAATTGACATAAGTGCGAATCCAATGTCTTCAAATTCTTTTGGCGCATTTATGCCAGTGCTTGCAAATTTTTACACATATGTCAATTTATGCTTCGCACTTATGCCAATTTTCACTTATGCCAGTTCTCACTTATGCTAATTCGCATTAATGACAATCATTGCAAATTATTTTGGCGTACTTATGCTAATTTGCACTTATTCAAATATTTACTTATTCTTTTATTATATCTATGCCAGTTCGTACTTAAGCCAGTTTTTGCAACTGTTTTGCACTAATAAAATTTCACACTTATAAAATTTGCACTTAATCAGCCTCCCAAAAAACAAACAAAAAATGACCCAAAACAAATTGCTTAGTCATCAAAAAGGGAAAAATAATGTCATACTTTTTGATTTTCCTCATCTTCTATATAATCAACTTCTTGAAGGAAAGATTGAACATCAACAAAACTGACATAACCACTTAATCCATTAGGCAAACCAATAATATATTCTTTTTTATTAATATCTCTAACACATCCAAGTATGAGTAATCCTTTGCTTATATACTAGAAAAATATAATAGCTTGCATGACTATTTTTTATAATGTAATATTATTTATTCTAATATAAAGAAAAACAATAAAATATTAATTTTTGTGGTATATTATTATAAATAAAAAAATAAAAAAATAATTTTTTAATAAAAGAACTTTGTTTAATTGCACCTTGAAAGAAAATTGATCACGCAACTTTTGTTTTAATGGTTTCTTTACTGTAGTGATTTTTTCTGTTTTTTTAACTTTCTTTTTGATTGGTTCTTCTTTCTATAAATTAATTACACAATCTAATTAAAAATTCAAACTTAAAATAGGTTTAAATTAAATAATTAAATTTCTATATCAATTTTATGAACATATATTTTTAATGACCATATCATTTTCATCATCACATCATTTGAATGACTACATTATTATTTTGCACTTTATGTTGACCACAACAAGTTAATTACATCAAAAACATATTTTATCTTTGCAAATTAAGAACTATTTAGAGAATTAATTAGTTGTTTTTTATTTTCCTTTTGTTTTTAAATTCTGGTAATCATTGTTTTTATAATTTTTGTATGCACTAAACTATTTTGTAAATATTTAAATTAAGTGTTAAAGAAATATTACCCTATAGTTAGTTTTACTAATTAGTTTTACTTTCCGAATTGCAAGTGAGAGGCAATTAGGAGCCTCAGCACTTATCATTGCTAATATATTGTCAGACTCAGTAACAGCTAATGATTAATTTGATTTACATACTTAGCGTTAAAGTTCCCTTGTTTTTGAAATTTGTGGCAACCATCTTAGCAGGACAAGTCAGGTTCGACAGGTATAAACCAATGATTTAAACCATTCAAAAAATATCAAGTTAAACAAAAATAATGTTATTTAAACAACTTTAAATTTACATTTAAAAAAATGGTTTTGGTCATAGTTTCTGTTAGTATGTCCAATGGAAAGCTGAAAATGTGTACACTTACATATTTTGAGGCAAGTAATCTAAACTAAAAAAACTTAACAATAAATATAACACCTGCAATTCCAAACTTTATCCCAATTTTACTGGGACGAGTTTAATTTTAAAAATGCCGATGAAGCTCAATTTTGCTTTTTCAAAATCCAGATGTAGAGACTTTTCTTTTTTTATATCAAAATCTTTTTATTCATTTTTAAGGTGTCTTAAATAATTTAGTTAAAATAATTTATGTATCACAATGAATTGGATTGTGGTCTTTCCTAAAACAGAAATAAAAAACATTGTCAAATGTACATCATAAGTAGATAAATTTAATGAGGAAATTTAGAGTGACTGACTTTTTTATTTAATGTTTTATTATATATATATATATATATATATATATATATATATATATATATATATATATATATATATATATATATATATATATATATATATATATATATATATATATATATATATATATATATATATACACATATCAGTGGTGTGCACTAGATTTTTAGATGTTTATGTTTTGACACTTATACACATTTTGCAAACTCCAAACTTTTGTATGTTCATACTTATGTCAAATGAGAATGTTTTGCAAAAAGTTATGGTGATTGGAGCTTGGGGACAAAAAAAACACAAATTTTGGGCCCACTTAGCCCTTAACGTGGGAGCAACAAGTTGATAAAATAATTTCTTTAGTATTTTTATCTAAGTTTATATTCATCAACGAATTTTAAATTTTATGCAATAACCTATTAGTTTTTAGTTTTTATGACCCTACAAAGTTTACAGTCCCCTCAAATTGAGGAGGTTAAAACTTTATATGGTCATAATTTTTAAAAAATGATAAATTATTGGATGAAACTTGAAATTTGTTGATGAATATAAACTTAGATAAAAAAACTAAAAATATTATTTTATCAACTTGTTACACCCACGTTAAGGGCTGGGTGGGCCCAAAAATTAGGGTTTTTTTTTGTCCCCAAGCTCTTATCACCGCAACTCTTTACAAAACATTCTCATTTGACATAAGCATGAACATACAAAAGTCTGGAGTTTGCACAATATCTGTAAATGTCAAAATTCAAACATCTAAAAGTCAAGTGTACACCGCTGCATATATATATATATATATATATATATATATATATATATATATATATATATATATATATATATATATATATATATATATTTATATATATATATATATATATAAATATATATATATATATATATATATATATTTATATATATATATATATATTTATATATATATATATATATATATATATATATTTATATATATATATATATATTTATATATATATATATATATATATATATATATATATATTTATATATATATATATTTATATATATATATATATATATATATATATATATATATATATATATATATATATATATATATATATATATATATATATATATATATATAATTAAACTCGTCCCAGTAAAATTGCGATAAAGTTTGGAATTGCAGGTGTTATATTTATTTTTAAGTTTTTTAAGTTATTTTATTAGATTACTTGCCTCAAAATATGTAAGTGTACACATTTTCAGCTTTCCATTGGACTTAGAAACAGAAACAATGACCAAAACCATTTTTTAAATGTAAATTTAAAGTTGTTTAAATAACATTATTTTTGTTTAACTTGATATTTTTTGAATGGTTTAAACCAGTCGAACCTGACTTGTCCTGCTAAGATGCGACTATTTTCACAGTATTGTGGTTGGTGGTAAGATTGTTTAGTTATCATTATGTTTTCTTGTATTATACATTGCATTTATTTAAGGTACATTAGACTAATGCTCTGAGTGTTTTTGCGCAAACTTCAAGGAGCGTGCTTGGTTTAATGCTGATATTAGTGTGAGGATCTTGTTTTCTAATAGCCTTTCGTGTACCATACTTGAGTTTAAAACAGTAATAAATGCATCTTTGATAGATTCACCACAGTAAATATAGTTTGTTACTGCTTTAAAGTTGCAATCTCTTGCTAGGTTTCAGAGAGCTTGAATAAATTTGTCTAGCCTTTCACCAGTTAGTTGTTTGCATGTTGCTAATTGATGTCGCCTAAATTTTTTCCATTGAAATAATTTTTAAATTTTAAAACCTTTTTTTTTATAGAAATGTATATATATATAATAAATTAAATAAAATAATACCCCCTAATTACTAATTTTTATCTTTCATGTCAATAGATCAATACAATATTAAGAGATATTAATTCATAATAACATTTATAAATGACTCATAATAATAACTTTTTTTAAAAAAACTTATAAACAATCAATTTTGCAAATCTCAATAAGTTTATACAAAACTTCTTTGTATAAACTTATGTGTCAATTTTATACAAAGAAGTTTATTTCACTTTTTAATAATGCTTGTTCATAAATAACACTTGTGGGGTACATTCATACCCATTCAACAAGTGGTTGCCTAGTTCATTGCATTTAAAAGTAATATTGCTTATATTTGATGATATTTCCTTCTATTTAAAACTCAACTCAGTCACAAAAATTGTTCACTATAAATATTATTTTTAACATTAGCACTAAAAAATACAACTTGTGACTCTTGTCAACAAATAGCAAATTTACATTACTTTATCTACATGAAACATCATAATTTAGATAGTTTATGACGAGGGCTCCAACATCTAGTAAATTTTTAGTTAAAAAGGCAGTTGGATGATATCAGAATTATTTCCTTCTGTGCTTCAACACATAGTTAACCACACAAACTGTAATAACGTAAGACAAATACTACTTTTGTGAATTGTGAATCTTATTGCTTAATTGAGTCAATTCTCTTTTGTAAAAAAAATAGAGTATATTTGCTAAACTTCCCTTTCTATTGTACTCAACTTGCAGTCTTTTGATGTTGGTATATTCTCTCTATTTAATACTGGGATATTCTCTTCATTTATTGCTCAGATACAATTTGGTATATTGCATTGCAAAATAGTTATGAGTTATTTTTTTACAAAAAAAAAAAAAAAATTGTACAACAAAGTACAAAATGCGCTATTGCAGTTTCTCCCTCCTTCCCCCTCCTTAATTTTTTTATATTACTGATTATGACAGAGAATATTATGCTGGTTAAGAATCTTATAAAAACATAGGTCTAAAAAGTACTCTAGTTTGATGGATATCATCACTTTAAAGCAAAACGGATTTAACGCATTTTAAATCAAAAACACTTTAAAATAACACTTTAAAGCAAAAACACTTTAAAGCAACACTTAAAGCAAAAAGATTTATATTAACACTTTAAAGCAAAACTGTTTAAAAATGCATAATGCTTTAGTTTCTGATTGTATATATAATTGTAACGATTCCTATATTTTAAAAAAGATTTTGTAAACGATCAATTTCTAAACTTTGTCAAAAAACTTTTTACGGACTAAGGAGGGTGCCTGAAATACACATCTGCCAAAAGTTTCAAAATTATTAAAACAGTGGTGAAATTAACCAAACACCAAGATTTTTTATTAAAGGTCAATAATCGCTATGCTACCTAAATTTAATTATTTCTAGCAACACATCATTTAGTGTTAAACAAAAGAATACAAAGTTGCCGAATGGTCCTGGTTGTCTTCCACTACAACATGCAAGTCGTCTACTTTTTTAAGTTTTACTAAAATTTCAACTTTGAATCTACAAATAAAATTTTTCTGAACCATCGAAATGATATTCAGATTTACATTTTATTGACATACACTTTCTGCAGCTTTAATACTGAAGCTTTAAAATGTTACTAAAACTTTATTAGTTAGATTTTTATTTTTAAATGAAAAAAATATATAATTTTTTTCTCTTTAAGTAATAAAATCCAGAAGAAAATATCTTTAAAAAAAAAACCTTAACCTTAAATAAAGCATCTTTTTCGGCAATACTTCGAACTTTTCTAGCTTCAAGAGGAGTTAAAACCTGAGCCCCACCTCTTGGAAAATCTTTAACTTGAGATTCGTTCATTTATAATAACAAAAGTCTGTTAAAATAGATTTAGAAAAGATGCTTTTAGCTTTGACCAGAAACTGAAGTGTAAAGTAAGCGGTGAAAACAGCGGATAAAGAACTGCACGTGAGTTGCAAGTAAAAAAGACATAAAAACTTGTTTACGCGGACGCATTAGGAAATAAATATTTTAAGGACCCACATTAATTTACTACTAACATGGGCTATCTTTGCTGTTAATTGTCTTATTATTACTTTGAATTAATCCATTATGGAGTACTTCAAAGTAAAAGTCGACTAAGAGAGTTTTGACTCTCCGCCCTCCCTCCACTGTCTTCCAATTATGACAGCAGTTGAAACTTAGCCATCGGAATAAAAAACTGAAATTAGGAACTATTTTTTGAACGAATTCGTTTGTACTCCATTGTGGATCGACCATTATCAGCAATGATAGCCCATCTTAGTAGTATGTTACTGTGGGTCCTTAAAATGTTTAATTCCTATTACGTCCGCGTAAACAAGTTTCTATATACCCTAATAATTTTTCGCGAAAACTGAAATAGAACTAAATACCTGCATTAGAAACGAAAACAGAATTAAAGTTATGAATTATTACCAAACGGAATTTTTTTCAATATAAAAGTAAAATTTAGCAAATTAATTTTTTTTTGACCATTTATTTACTTTTTTTTTTGTTGCATTAAATTGATGAAATTGATTCTACATCTTCTAAAAAAAGTGGAAAAGCATTGATCCAAACAATAGTGAGAGTGCTTTGAACGCCGATTAACTAAATGGCGAACGGAATCAAGTGAACATCGACTGCATCAGGATAGCATTGTTTAATTTATTTTCAATACCAGCTACTCCTGCCACTGGTATTGCTAGATAAACCACCATTTCTTAAGATGGTTAAAACGTTTGACCCAGAATTTAAACTGCAAGATAATTAATAACTAAATGTAAATAATGTAAAATGTAAGAGTAAAATATTTTGTTTTATATTCTAAAATACTTAAATTTTATAAATCAGTCTATAAGAGTGCATAAAAATTAAAAGAACCCATATATATGACAGCAGATTTGATATAATGTGTTGGATTGCCTAAAATATAAAAATGCATAGCCCATTGCTTAACAAGCCGTAGTCTATCAATGATCAAGTCAAGTTTTCTTTAAACTTAAATCATGCTAAACGTAACCCAAAATGTTATACATAAAAAACCATCCCCACCACCCATCTGTTTGAATATATCTTTTAGAAACATTCGTGGTCTACAAAGCAACCTTTTATCAGTTTAATCATATCTTTTGCAAAAATCACCTGAATTGTTTGATATTAGTGAGATTAATTTAAATTCCGCATTCCTTCTTTAGATCTCGGTTTTGATGAGTACTACCCTTTAATTCACAGATACTCCAATAGTACTATCCACAATAACAACTCATCAACTCACCAACTCTTATGAAAACAGGTTTGAATCCTTTGACCATTCTTTTATGTGCTTCTCATCACTCTATCGCCATTCTCTTTGTTTTTGTCGTTCTCTTTTTTTCCAAAACCTTTAGATCAATATTGACTATGCCCTCTCTTTTATTGTTGTTATTGGTAACTCTAATGCTCAACACACTAAATGGCTTGTCTCTACCTCCACTGACCCTGCTAAGATTAAAGTCTATAATTTTTTCGTTTATTTAACTTCATCCTTTATAGTAAAATTTAAAATATTAACTTCATCCTTTATTCAGATAGTAAAATTTGTGACACGCTTTCCAGACAATCTTAAGCATTTATCTTCACTTCTTGATTTGTGTCTTATCTCTGACCCTAGCTTGTGTTCAGTTTCTCTTTTTTCTTTGTAAATGGTTCTGACCATCCAACAATCTCTATAAACTTTTCGTCTTGTACTTCCTTTATGGACTATAAATGCACCTCTTACGTAAAATCCTGGATTAAGGCAAGAATCAAAGCTTTAACTCTCGTTGGTTCTAAGTTAAGCTTCATTCTACTTCATGGTTTTCACCTTCTAGTGCAGCTGCAATATATCTAATAGTGTCCATTTTTTCATCTTTTTCAAAAGAATAACTTTCTTGATAAAAAACTATTTCTATTTCTTGCCATTTTTTATTGCAAGAAATTGATGTAAAAAAATTCTGTCTGTTCCTAACCTTCATTTTCTCAGTCTACTAAACCCCATATCTTATCTAAAAAGTTAGGCTCTAGGGACTTTTGGAAAATCTTCAACAGTGTCATTAACAAGAGTTGATCTAACATCTCAAATTTTTGAACTGATCTTAATACCTCTCCCAAGGATAAGGCAGAACTATTTGCAAAAAAAAAATTTTTTGTTGACGTTGGTTCTGTTTTTTTATGTACATTATTAATTTTCCAAACAATCTCACATCTAAAGTAGCTCTTTTTGCTGATAACATAACTTTATACTCCTATCTTGACAAAAAGTCTTCTCTTTTCGATTGCTTAAAATAGGCAACAAATTTTAAAACCTGATCTCACTTTTTAAAACCTGTAACAGATTGAGGCTTGCAGTGACTGGTGAATTTTAACTCCAACAAAACTCAGTTATTTACTGCACATTACTATCGCAATACTATCAACACTCCTACATTATAAAATGGCAATCTTCTCACTGAGTCCTCTTCTTTATGTTTTTTTGGATTATCGCTCATTACTGACCTCTCCTGGAAACCATATATACAATCGATTGCTAAGTTCGCTTATGCTAAGGTTGCCTCTCTTTACCGTGCTTGTCATTTTTTTACTCCTGATTTCATTTTCCATTCTCTACCTCTACAAAACTCATATATGTCCCTGTGTGGAATACTTTTATATTTGGTTGGTTCTTCTAATGATGGTCTTTTTCTTCTAGACAAACTCCAAATACGCACTGTAAACATAGTTGGACCCGCTCTATCTGCTAAGCTCGAGCCTCTCTCTCATCTTTGTAAAGTTTCATCTCTTTCTCTTTTCTGCAAATACTATCATGGTAGCTGCTCAAAGGAGTTATCGTCTCTAGTTCCATCAATTTAAACTCATTCTCGCTTTACTTGTCATCCAACAAAGTCTCATTCGCTTACTGTATCTATCCCTACATGCTCAAAAAACTTTTGTTCATCTAGTTTTTTTCCCCGCACTTCAAGCCTTTGAAATTCATATTTATTTTTTCCTGACCTATTTATATTCTATTATTGGTGCGTCTAAATAACAAAATATTCCAATAATTAATGATCCGAACAATTAATTCAAAAAAGTTATTATATTAAAATAATTCCGAAGTCAGGAGTTTAAGGAGTACCTCTGTTTTGATCAAGTCATGAATCTCGGAGTCCCAAATGATTAGTCGGACTTTATATTATTCGGTAAATAGCTTTCTTAATATCACAATTTTTTGAGGAACTTAAGACTTGTGAGTGTTGTTCTTTGAGTTGTGTGTATTTTTTTTAAGCTTACATAATTGGTATCTACCAACAAAATTTAAAAGTATAAAATTTGTTAAACTTTATAGGTATAAACAATATTTGCTAATTATTCAGTTTTGCTATTTATTTTCATGCAGACTTTTTTTTAGTTAAATTGGTGGCGCCATCTCTTTTAATCGCCATTAAGGCGGCATCTCGATAAGTCAAAATAAGTTTTTAACTTTTTTTTTGTGCAAAAAATTTTAGATTAGGTTGTCCAGCTATTAATTTTTGATTAAAGAACCGTTACAAACAAAAAGCGCGTCAGTTTTAATTTTTAACAAACTTGCTCGTAGTTTTGTCGTGTTGGCTTGGCAACTTTGAATGTATTATCTTCATTCGATGTTAATTTCTGATGCTATAGCAACAAAATATTATATTTATTACTATATGGCAAAAGAAATCGATTCAAGAGTAAATATATTGAATGCAATGAATTGCACCATTTATTATTAAATATCAAGTTTTATAATTTTTTAAAACAATATTTAAATTTTATTATTGGAGAGTTTTAAATTCATATTCCCAAGTAATTTGTCATGTTACAAGATATTTTTTGTGAAAAGCTATATTGGAAATTTATGATAAATTCTTCAAAAGTCACACCTTCTGAAAGTGAAACAGGTTTGGCTTTTAGTTTAATTTTTAGATTGAAACTAACCATCAACAAATTTTTTAGTAATGTTGAGACAATAAAAATGCAATAAAAAACCATTTAGTCAATAAATAACTTGACTTTATAATGCATTTAAATATTATAAGTTAAAGTTCATAGTTAAAAGGTTATAGGTACTTTTCCTATATTTTAATCTAAAAATAGGGAAAAAGCATACTTTAATCAAGTTTAATTTCAATCTGATTGAATTTCTTTAAGATCATTTATACTGTTTATGAGTCAGTTATTAAAAGGAAATCAATCGCTAACTTTCTTGGAGTGATGTCGGATGAAAGTATATCATGAAAGTTTTAAATTAAATTAATTAAAAACAAAGTTTCAAAAAATAGTTCTGTCATATATAGTAAAACCATTACCTTATACTGAATATTTAAATATTTTTCATTTGTTCATAGTTATCTTACCTGTTGCAATATTGCGTAGGGAATCTATAGTAAACAAAAAAATCTATGCATCTGGTTGCGTAGGGAATCTATAGTAAACAAAAAAATGCATTTAAGATTATTAATTGCTTTAAAAGAACTATTAATGACAGATTCTTTACGGAAAGTTACTGTCCTTAATGTTTGCAAATTTAATACACGCCAAGTTTTGCTGTTTATGTTTAAAACAAACATGGTATATCTCCTAATATCTTTTTTTCTTACTTAGGCAAAAATTTTCATTAATCTCCCAAAAAACTTTTAAAGAATAATTTTTTCGTACCTTACTTAATAAATATTGTTATTTTTTTTAATTAGTTTTTTTTTAATTTTTGTATTAGGTGCCCCGAGAAAACTTTACGGTCTTATCACAAAGCACCGCGAAAGATTATTTAATTAGGAAGTTTACACTTTCTTCCGATAGCGCCTAAAGTTCGCTTTGAACTATGGATATAAAATAAACGCTCTGACCACTGAGCCACGGCAGCTTATTTATATTTTTAATTTTGCCTTAGAAATTTATAGAAATTTAGATTTATAAAATGACATAAATAATATAACAAATGACTCGAGCTACAAGAAGATATCATTTTGTCTTATAACCAAGCCCAATTGAGGTCGTTTTTTACAATAAAATATATAAAGTTTTGATAAAAGCTTTTTATCAAATATATATAAAATGTGTAAACTACATTTCACAATTAATATAATTGTTAATATATAAATTCGTTTTGTAAAAACGATATCGTATTAGTATTACGACATCGTATTAAAATTTTTTTTTCTAAATACAATATTACAGACCATTTTTTCTGGAATTTTTTTTTTAAATGTCTTCAAAAACAAAACCGTTTTAAAATACTTTTCAGTAATTTTGAGAAAAGAATCTAAGTTGTTCTTATTAGAAAAACAAATCGGTTTAGAATATTTCTTTTTAAAGATGCGCACGAAATTATTTAACTGGAAAAAAGTAAACACTATTACCTTTCTTTTGTCTTAATTTTATATATTTTATAATATAATCTTATACTATTTTTATTTGTATCTTATTTATTTAACATTTGTAATATCTGTATTTTATTTATTTATATTATTGTATTTTTTGTTCTTCTTTTTCCGATAATTTATTATAAACGTAATTTTTTATACGTTATTGCTTATAACAATATAAAGTCACAAATAATGTTTTTTAAAAGTTATGAACTTTTTGTAAATAGACCTTCGTTGACATTATCTAACATGGTTCTTACATACAAAACGCAATATAAATACCTTGGTGATTTAATCTATAACGAAATGCAGTGTGATAAAGATATTCTAAAAATACATTTTACCTATGCATAAATCTAACCTCATCCGTAGAAAGTTCAGCACAGCATAAATACAAACAATGCTCATTTTTTTAAATGCCTTTTGCAGTCTATTTTGCGGATGACAGGTATGTACCTCTTGCAGAAAGACTCATTTCATCGTCTATATGTTGCATATAAAGATATACTTCGCTTCATATTAAATAATCGACAATGGAACAGTGCTAGTGGATTATTAGTGAAGCATGGTGCTTATTCACTTGTTATTCAATGATGTTATTCGTAAGCAACAATACTCACCATTGTTACTGCTGCAGAATAGTGAAAGACGCATTATAAAGGCTTCTGTTAATCTTGATAGGTTCCTGCAGTCCTGATTGATGTTTAAATGGAGAGCTGGGTTATATTTATAACACTTAACATTTACGTTATTTGATTGCAGGTGAACTTCAGTGATGAGGGCAAAATTAATATCCTCAAAATTAATATTTCAAAAACGTTTACTAAATTTCTGAATTTATCAATGGTTATATTAAATAAATTTAGTTAAGAATAATACAAAAAATGCTTTCTCAACTTGTTGCTCTTGCGTTTTGGCCAATTACCATCAAATTTTTAAGGTTTTTTTGTTCCCAGGCTTCAATTATCGCAGTTTTTCCAGTAATTTTAATACCTTGATTGTATAAACATATAAATGTTTGGAGTTTGCTCTATATCTGGAAGTTCTAAAACATCTAAACTTGCTGCATATATATATATATATATATATATATATATATATATATATATATATATATATATATATATATATATATATATATATATATATATATATATATATATATATATATATATATATATATATATGTATATATATATATATATATATATATATATATATATATATATATATATATATATATATATATATATATATATATATATATATATATATAATGTATATATATATATATATATATATATATATATATATATATATATATATATATATATGTATATATATATATATATATATATATATATATATATATATATATATATATATATATATATATATATATATATATGTATGTATATATATGTATATATATATATATATATATATATATATATATATATATATATATATATATATATATATATATATATATATATATATATAGAGAGAGAGAGAGAGAGAGAGAGAGAGAGAGAGAGAAAGAGAGAGAGAGAGAGAAAGTGGGGGCATAACCGCATATGGAGGCAACCGTTTTTTAACATTTCTCTTCAAAAAATGTTATATAATATGGCAAAAAACATACCACGCGTTAGTAAAACAGTTTCCTTCATTTTGAATATGTCAAAAAGAGTGACTGTTAAGTTTCTGAGAAGTTGTGAATAAAATTGTTTATTTTGGTAAAAATATTATATTTACACCATATTTTTCTTGACCTTCTTTTTGAGAATTAAGCAATATTTGATTTTAGTGTTAAAGATATGTGTTATCAGCATTATTTCATGAAGTGATAGCCATTTTTGATAATACCATAATCTAATAATTAACTGATTTCTTTCTAAAAACTCTCTTCTGGGGCAGAACTCTCTTCTGGGCCAGAATTCAAAATGTAAATACAAAGAATGCCTGAACAGTATGCAAACATGCAAAAAAATCATCAAATAATCTGAGCTGTGAAAATTGTAATAAAAAATGTACCATGAAAGGTGTAGCCCCATCGATTTTTGTGAGGGTGCGGTTGTGCCTCACAATGGGGGCAAAGCCGTTTTTTTCACTAATTGTACTTTTTATGTTATAACATTTTTAAAAACCGTTTAATTATTTTCTAAATTGCATCAATTAAAAACTTAATGATATTGTTATTGAAATAAACTGTTTAAAAATACATTTAGTTTTTATCTTCATATAACATTAATAATATATATATATATATATATATATATATATATATATATATATATATATATATATATATATATATATATATATATATATATATATATATATATATATATATATATATATATATATATATATATATATATATATATATATATATATATATATATATATATATATATATATATATATATATATATATATATAAATACAGGGCCGGGCCGGCGCGAGTAGGTTTTACGTGGGGGGGGGGGGGGGAATGCCATTACAACTTATGTCAACTAAAATAAAAAAAAAAAAAGGTTCTCATCTTCGAAAATTTTCCCACTGCCATCTGCCATGACGACATTTGCCGACTAACTATCTAAATTACCGACTAACCTATATCGAAAGGGTCGACATTTGCCGACTAACTAGTCAAAAAGGGTCAAATTCATAAATCGCATGAACCGATACAACATTGCAAACCATGTAAACCGATACAAACCAATATAAATAATAGATGAAAATAATTTTAAAAAAATCTTAAAAGTACATTTACATTTGCCGATTTCAAAAACGGCAAATGTAAATGTACTTTATATTATATATAGGAACTAAAAGTTGCTAAGCAACTAAACATAGCAAAGGTGATTCCGATATTTAATGGAAATGATTTAAATAATGAAAAAACTATCGTATTATTTCTATTCTATCTGCATTATCAAAAGTCTTGGAGAAAATTTTATACAACAAATTTTATAAAGATTTGTCTGTAAACAATTTAATATATTGCAACTAATACGTGTTCAAAATATATAACTTGACAGAACACGTAGTTCTCCAGTTTACGAGAAGTATTACTAACTCTTTTGAAAACTCCCAATATACAGTTGGGGTTTTTATCGACTAAGCTAAAGTTTTCGACTAGACCAAAATACTCTTTTAAATATAATTAAAGATTTACAGTATAAACGGAAGTGTTTTAAATTAGTTTAAAAGCTCTTTAAATAATCGAAAGCAGTATGTATACGTTGATGTAGTTTTACAAGTAAACTTGCTTGATATAACCTGTGGTTATATCAAGCAAGCTTACTCGTGAAAATACAATCTTAGGGTACCAATTTTGTGGAGTTCTTCAGGGATCAATATTAGGGCCTCTTCTCTTTCTTATTTACATCAACGATCTTCATAATGATATTACATTGTTATTTCAGAATATCATTAATGAATTAGTAAGAGTTCTGATTGGTTTAAGACAAATAAACTGTCTCTTAATTTTGATAAAACAAAATGAATTTTTTTCCATTTAAATCACACAAAAAAAATTATACCTAATGTCACATACTTCTAAAAAAAGTAACAATTACTAACTTTCTTGGTATTTATATTGATGAAAATTTGTCATGGAAAAGTCACACAAAAAGTTGGAGTAGTTAAATATCTAAAAGCATAGGAGTTTTTTTAAATAAATATGCATTACATAAATTATATTCTTCGCTCATTCATTGTCACATAAACTATGCGAACATTGCGTGGGGTAGTACTAATAAAAGAAAACTGGAACCTCTTTATTGTAAACAAAAACATGTTGTACGCTTTATTAATTTTAGGCATCGGTTTACTCTTGCCAAGCCTCTATTTATTGAAATGAAAGTTTTAAATATATATGAGCTTAATATTTTTAATGTTATATGTTTTATGTTTAAACAATATTTCTCATGTACCATTTCATAATTTGTATAACAAAAAATAAAAAAATAAATACTTTTTACGAAATGATAACGATATTCGTCAATCAACTTATCAAACTAATTCTGGAAAATACTGTATTTCATTTTGAGGAGTATTACTTTGGAATAAAATAGTTTTGAAGAATTTGATTTCTCTCAAGAGGTTAGGTTTTTGTTTGAAAGAGTGATTCTCTTTCAAACAAAAACTTAAAAAAGTCATTTTTTATCAGATGATATATCTATATTTTTTAATTCTTTTTTTTTTTAACTTTATATTAAAGACTGCATTAATAAAACTTATTATTTTACAATTTGCAAATAGTTTAACACTTTTTTTAAAGGTATCTTAAAGTTGTATAACGCATCTATGTATTTATAACGGAACCTTTTTCTTTTTTACTTTAAATTTGTTTATGTTCATAATTCTTAATTTTTATTTATTTGTTATCTTCAAGTATGTTAAGTATATAGAGGTTATTTATTTATTTTGAAAATATTTTATTAATACGAAATGTTAACACGTACCCTTGTTAGCGGTTCTCGACACAAGACCTTACCTTCTTCTACGAGTTCCCGCATTCTTTTATTTCCTTATAACGATCATGTATACATACATTGTCAACGAATAGTTATTAAATCACAAAGTTTTAAAATTAAAAAAAAAAAAAATGTTTATATATATATATATATATATATATATATATATATATATATATATATATATATATATATATATATATATATATATATATATATATATATATATATAAAAGCGCCTATGATAACATACTTAACTTTTAAGCTTCATTATTCAGTATCCTGAAGAGCAAGAACAAAAGTTTTAATATAGATACATTCTTTGTTACATCTAGAACAATAATAACTCCAGGAGTTTTCATCAGCTTTATTTTTTTATTGGTTATTTTTATTTAAAAAAAAGCGCAAGTATGCCATCATAGGCAACTACTGTTCCAATGATGGCATAGGAAAGGATGGGGCTGATTAGCATCAAGGGTGACTCGATAATTTCATTTGACCTTAGAGTCTTACCTTAGAAATGCCAAAAATTATGCGTAATCATCCTAATTGACCCTTTCGTGCTACACAGCAGCAAAGATTTCGCGCATGCGCATAAGAGATATTGCGTTTTATGTCAAAATTATCAAAATTTTTTTACTGAAGTAAAAATTCCTTTTTACTTCACTAACAAATATGTTGTTTCTATGAAAAAAAAAATGTTTTCTCAACTTGTCAATATTGCAACACACCTAACTCGTCAGCATGCCATCATAGGAAGAAGTCATCATTTTCATTTAAACAAGCTATGTCTGCCTTGTTTAAAAGATAAAATTAAAATAAGTATTCCATTAAATGCACAAAACTTGGAAATAAAAAGCATGAAAATTTCATTTCTGCGCAGTTAGTAATAAAATCACAATCTTAAATATTTAAAGGGATTAAAAATACAACAGCACATCCCAAAATCAATTTTTAATGATTATAAAAGCAATATTTATGCATAAGGGATGTACTTTTAATAAAACAAATGTAAATTCAGTATAAACATGTTGGTCTGATCATTTCCCTATATCACTCACACACACAGAGATAGGTATATATAGATATATTAATATATAATTGCCGACAGACTTTTTTTATTTCCTATATAATTTTTTTGTTGAGGTAAATTAGAATTGAGGTCATGAGAGTAAAAGTTGTGTAACCCACAAATTTACAAAAAAAAAATTTCGTTTTTTTTAATTTGTTTTTTTTTGCGTAACGTAACTCTATAAAAAGAAATTTCTCTATAGATGGTGAAAACTGAAAAGCTGCTATGAATTTAAAGATAAGCAAGATAGTTAAATTAAAAAATTACGAAATTTTATTTGTACTATTTTCTCCATTGTTTTAATATGTTGCTTACACCACTTTTGTTCTCATGGCCTCATTTATGATTAAAATATCAGCAGGAGAAAAGCATTTATTATTGAAAAATACAAATGGGTTTAATAAACCTTTTCATTCTCTATTTTAAGTTTCTTTAATACTAGTTTTTTCTTTATTAGTAAAAATTGGAGTTGACACGCAACATGTAAATCTTTTTATTGGTGTAACTGATCAAATCAAAATAGACGCTGACTTGATAAATGAATCAGTTGATACTTTTCATGAAAAAAGCAATGAATATTGCCGATCATTTACAGTGCATGGATTATCAAGAGCTCTAACGGGTAATTTATTTGAGAAATTGTTCTGGGGGTTAATAATGTTGTTCAGCTTATGTATAATTATATATGGAATATCGACTTTGGTTATTAAGTATAAAAGAAATGATGTATACATTCAATTTTATGCTACAGAATATTCTGAAGCAGACACACCAATTTTCACTGTATGTCCATATGAGGTTGACAAACGAGGAACGTGTAATTTAACAAATAATTGTCGTAAAAATGTTACTTTTAGTCAATTATTTATTCCAAAAAACAGTTCTTACAGTTGGCATAATGATATAATAAGTATTGTTGTTGACGATTATTCAAAAAGTTCAGTCAAGGCTGGCGTTCAGATTAGCGATTACATAAAAAAAACTTATCACAATTGTGTCCGATTAAGTTTAAATTTTTTTAATACATTGTCATCTACGTCTAATGGAATACGCGTGTACACAATTTATCCAGAAAATTATTTAGAAATATTTGTTCATGATTCAGACGAAGAATATCCTTTTTTGCAAAGTAAACCAGTTTTTATAGGATCTTATGAAAGTGATGACATAAATATTGAACTGAAGAAGTATAAACGATTAAAACAACCATTTGCTTCTAACTGCAGTCAGAGTTCAGATTCGATGATCTTTCCGGGAAAATACTCGAAACTAAAATGTATAGAATCTTTGAAATGCATTAATTCGTTTCAGGCCTGCGGCAACAGTTATGATTTTTGTAAAAATTTTTTACCAAAAAATATATTCGATAACAACAGTTCATCGGTATACGATATAAACAATTTAACTGAATGTTTGAAACTAGAATATGAAAAAAAATACGATCATGAATGTGCTTTACCTTGTGATGAAAATGTTTATACTGTTATATCATCTTTTACTAGTAATTGCGATTGGCTCAAAAATAATGCTAGAGAGATCTGGATTGATTATCCAATAACTCCTTATTACCACGTGTTTATAGAAGCACCATTGTATCCTTTTATTCAATTTATATCTGAATGTGGGGGGTTGCTTGGTTTTCTTACAGGAAGTTCACTTATCTCTTTCATTGAAGTTTTGGTATTTTTTAGTCTAATTGTGTTAAAAAAAATAATTAACATAAAAAGCAAAAAAGAAGAATAACTCTTTTTTATATATTTTGTTGTTTGTTAATTTAGTTATATTTTTTACTTTTTTTTATAACTGTAATAGTTTTAATCTAGAGTGGTGTAACTAAACCATATGGCCTGTGGCATATTTTTTGTAAGAGTCCCACCAGATAAAGTTGTAACGTTTTTAATAAATCACTTAAGAAGTTAGCCTTAAATATTAATAATATTGTGTAGATTTTTGTTCAAATCGAACAGTTTTTTGTTTTAAAAGCATAGATATTACCAATTTATAAATAAATAACAGTTTAATCTTTACAAAACTTTTATTACTAGAATATTTTTCTCCACGCTTACTGTCCCGCTAAAGTATCAATAACGTCTTCAAAGTTTAAAGACTGGGAATAGAATTTTGAATAAACAAGTAGCCAAGTTTTATATTCTGTCTCATCGAGTTGTCCCATTGAGTTTCTTAAATAAGTTTTTACTGATTTTAATTTTATATATGATCTTTCAGCTTGGTCTCTACTCACAGGAATTGTAAGAAATATCATTATTGCATAATGAATAACATAAATGCAGTATATACTTCAGGTAAGCTCCGTGACATAAATTGATTTTTATAATTAATAAATCAGCAATCTCTCTAATACCTGAATGTTATCAAAGTTGAAGACTCAGATATAAAACTTGACCTTTTAATACTCAAATAAGTTATTTAAATATATAACGGCTATTAAAAAGTTATTTAACATTTATTTAATTGTTCTAAAAAATTTTGTATATCAACAACCTCTCCTAATCTATCATTACGTACTAATTTTAAGTTATGAGTAGCACAGTAAATATATACCGCATTTGACACGATACCTTTTATGTATTTGACACGATACCTTTTATTTTTTTTATCATATTCTTGTCCTCGAAACTTATTTAGAGTTTTTTATTTGTCACATATAGATTTAATAATTTGGTTTCAAGACATTACTAATGCAGTTTAATCCCTAATTTTATGAAATCTAAAATCATAAAAATGTGTGGTTAAATTAAACATTTGTTTTTGAAATATCTTGAGTCGTATCGAGTGGTAGAATAAAACGAGACAGCATTAATTTCATTTATAAATGGATTTTTTGTTTTTAGAACCAGAACAAAAATTATCTCATTTTCTATTTTTAAACTTGAGTGTTTTACTTGGTCCTTCATTTTATTTAACAATCCTAAAACTGGATTTTGTAAATAACTTAAAAATACTAAATAAGTTTCCTTGGGAATTGATTAATTGCTATCTGCATTTTCTCTGTAGTCACGAAGAGCTAAATCACTTGTTAAAAATGTCAAAGTAACATCAAGGAGTCTAGAGAGTACTTAGTACCAAAAACTTTCTTGATCATGGAATCTTACTCTTCATCTAGTGTTTCGCTGCATTGTCGATATCTTAAAAATAAATTCTTAATACAAAAGAGTATTTTGTAGAGTGAAACATTTTTTAAATTTATTTTAAAAATTTTAATAATTTCATTCATTCTAATCTTAATTACGCATAAATTAATATTAATTATGCATACATTGCTTAGTGCAATAGAAAAAAAATAATAAAATGAAAAAGCTCTTTAATAAACAAAAGCATGCTCTTAGAATCATATCTAAAGTAGGCCGTTATACACATTTTTAAGTATTGTTTAAAATGTCAAACATAATGATTCCAACATATAAATATAATATAACATATAATATAAATATTCTGAAAATTACTAAAAATATTTCTCATAAAATACTTTACCTGCTATTCCAAGTAAATCAGAACAAATAATTAACTAGATATTACTTTTAAAAAATAGTTAGGGAACTTTTGCTCAAAATGTATACATTTTAAGATTTTTTTTTTTATTGTCTGTTTACTACTTAAGCAGAATAATGATTAAATTTAGTTATCTTTTATTAGAGAGCTGCAAAATATTGTTTCAATATACCCCGCCATCTTTTTAACAACTTAATATTTTAAAGCTTGTTAAGAAGTAATTTGTTTATATTTTTCTAGTAATTTTGTTGCAGTTTATCTTCTTTTCTTTTGCTACTTTGTTTTTGGAAAGAAATAAGAAACATTTTTCTATTAATTTAATGAATGTTAAAAAACCACAACCAACAATTTATGATCAAACTTAATAAAAAAAAAACACTTGTGCAAGCAAAAAATATGAATGAAAATATACGCTAAGTGATTAGATCCTTGATTTAAATTCAATTTTAGCTTGCATGTATGGATAATTATAAAGTTAATAGTATATTCTATGAGCAATAATGAAAAGAATATAACTGATGCTTTAAAATCTCTTTTTAACCAGTGCACTCTCAAACAATTGAATCAAGGTAAACCATTCACAAATCTCCATAAAAAGCAAATTTAAAGAAAGACTTCAAAAACTACTATTCAGATTGTATCAATTTATTTTATTAACTTCTATAGTTTATGAATACAGTTAATGCTAATATATACTTTTTTCTAATATATATTTAACTTAGCTGTTTGGACCCGTATCTTTTCCGCACCAATCGTTTCTACACGTATTCCTTATTTACTTTAATTAATTGTTTTTAATCTTGCCACACATATTTATAGCATAAAAAAAATTTAAAAAAGCAAAAAAAAAACTATTATTTGTTAAAATAAAGTTTTAATGTTTTTGCTAGCTACGGGCAAATTTTTTTTTGCATCCACATCAGTTCGTTCTGGAGTTGCAGGACGGGCTTATTAAATTTTTTCTACCTTTTAATACCTTTTAAACCATAGTTTATTTTCAGACTATCAGCAGCTAAATAGCACTAACTACCAAGCACATTAATAACAAGAGTATCTTATGACATATGCGCAGCAAATTTCTACAGATAGTTTGATTTTTTTTAATATTGTCTCTCTTTTTTTTGTTATAGTATATAATATCTTTATATATGTTATGTATATAATATCTATATAACTTCAAAAATATGTTATTTTTTATTTTAAAAATGCAAAAAAGGTTGAAAAAAAAAAAAAAAAATGCAAGCGTAAGGTTTTGAACAATCCGATCCGCTTCAAAATAAGCGTAAGGTTTTGAACAATCCGATCCGCTTCAAAAACACTGCGAGTTTAACCACTTTGACTAATTAGACGTATTGTTTGATGAATGTTTAACACAATTTAATAAAAAAAAGACTTCATCAAACGTTTTTTTTAAAGAAATTTTTTTTCGGAACTCTACTTTCGGAGGATGGCCATTTTTTTACTCGGCAAACTTTGGAGATAATATATTTTATTTCACTGTCATGTGTTATTTCTTCCTTTTATTTTTTATTGTGAATGTCTATGGTATATAACATTTTTCCATATATTTCAGATATTTTAAGGTATATATTGGTTTAAAAGGGAAAGCTTCAGGATGATGCAATCTTGGCCTAATATAGAGTTTTGTTATACTAAATATGTTATTTTTGTATAAAATACTTTTCTTATAAAAACTAAAGGTAAAAAAGAATTGTTTGAGAAAATAGGAAAGAATTATTTAAAAAAAATATATATTAAATAGGTTACGATTTCTTTATTTTTTCACATTTACAATATAGAAAGAAGTTGACGATAAGATAAATTTTATTAAATGTTTAGCAATTTGAATAAATTTAAAGAGAAAAAAAAAACTGATAGTTTACAGATCATTAAGTAACTGGTATTTGGTTATAAATCTTTAAAGTATAAAATTTCTTGAAAATATTATGTAGAAAGTTGTTGCTTGTCATTCAGTTGAGCTTTATTTCCCCTCCCCCCTCTTTCCCCTAAAATTCCAGAGAAAAACCACTACAGTCTTGGAGTCTTTTTTTTCTTTTTATTACAATTGTTTGTGACACTCCTAACTTTTTTTGCAAGCAAACTTTAGAAATTGCAATCCAGTTATTTTTCACTTTTTTATTATTTGATTCTTTAGAAACAAAATGCGTCATTTTCCAGCAGTAGCGGACTGGAATATTTGAGCGGCTTGGGAAACCCCGAGTGGAACGGCCTCAAAAAAAAACAATATCGTATAAGATAATATTTTAACATAATATTAAATATAAATAGATACTTAATAAAAAAAAAAAATAAACAAAAGATTTTTAACCATTTTAATACTTACTAATACCTGGAGAATTTTATTTTATTTTATCTATTGTTGTATCATTATATAAATTAACCAAAATATCCTTCTCAATCGCCATAAGCTTCAAAAATTGCAATTTATTTTGTGACAAGGAAAATCTGAGTCTACTTTTTATAATTTTTAACTTGGAAAAACTACGTTCACAAGCTAATTGCGTCGAAGATAATGTTAAAATAGATTTATATGCAAAATAAACATTGCTATATAAATTATATTTAGCCAAGAAATTAAAACAGCGATAAATACAAATTTTGCAACTCTTTTTTTTTTGTGGCATACTTCAATCATTATTTCTGAATCTAAATCAGTTAATTAATTGGTATTATATATTTCTTGCATATATATATTAAAGTGGTCCCATTTTGCCTTTAATTCAGTTAATTCCGCCCCTAAATTTGACGCTTTAGCTGTATTATGATATTTTATTAGTAATTTACTATAAATTTGTTTTGTTTTTTAATTAAATTTTAAAATATTGACACTACTATTACTTCGTAAAAGGTAATGACGTAATAATGTTAAAAACGTGATGGCCAGGAATAAGTTTGGATAGGTTATGTTTTGGATCTCCAGACATGATGTGGTGTTTTTTATGCCTTGTTGAATTTGTGCTAAAACTTGTCAATTTATTGACAAAAATTACCAAACTTATCATAAATTGTATCAAGAAGTTTTTTAAGAGTTTAGGAATATTTTTTCATGAACCTAAGTCGTTCGCAGTTATATATGACGCAGCTTAAAATTAAGTGGCCAGGAATAGGTGAATTTACTCTGCATTATTGTTTTAATGTTTTAACGACAAGAAAAATTTAAAACAATTTTATTTATTCATTTATTTTTTATTTATTAATCATTAAAAAAAGAATACAATGTATTATCGCTATTTATCACTACACCCTGATATACATTCATGAGTAAGCGTTTATAACCGTTAATACGTAAACATAAAACTACTTTGTACCATT